TGAAAAACATTGTATATGGTATAAAATAGTGAAAACAAGACTTGTTTGGTAAAAACCAAGTCCTCAAGGTCGTAAATCACGTGCGTACGGTTTTGACCGTTTTTCACGTGTTAGATCGATTGACCAAGATACAAAGATGGTTTTTACAAAATAATTATTCGGGAACCTTTAAAATATGCTCAGAGATAAAAACAGGGTTTAAAATATTGAAAACCATGGAGTTGGTTCGGGCGCCAAAAAACTGAACGCCGAAAGCCGAACGCCGACTTAGGTGGTTTTGGTTCTGAGCAAGGACCAGGGATTTTAACAATAAGGAGATTTATCTAAAATGTTTATTTTGATGCATAAAAACATTTTATGATTTTGTAAAATAATTTTGACTCTTTGAGAACCGAGACTTGAATTGATTATCGGTTTTGATCACAAAAGACCGACTCGACTAAGTCTTCAATTCTTGATCTGTCCTTGAGTCTTTTAGGTCTTGTTCCAAGCCATTCTTCACGCCTTGAGTTATTCAACGAAACTCTTCATATCCACGGCGGTTTGGCAATTATCAAAACCTGTCAGAAATGAACACGACTTTAGTTTAACGTGCAAAGTGTGTTCCAACAATCTCTGTATGGCTGTTGAACTTAAACGCCCCATCCAATCTCAAATAATGGAGATTAATGTTCAAAAAGAGGCTCTAGAACCTAAGACCAACCCTGAACCCATCAACCAACAGGTTCCAGTTCTAGAAGATTCACCCAGTTTTACACCATCACAGAAACCCAAAAGCATAACAACTCTCGCTAAGGCTACTGTGGTGATGTTACCTAAATCCCTTCCTAGCCAAGTCACAACCAGCATAGTCGTACAGAAGGTGGAACCAACTAAGGGACCTGACTCAGAACCACCTATGCTTAATCAAGAAAAGGAGGAGGAAGTTTTGCCTATAGCAATAAACGACCACCTCCTTAGTTGTGTTGAAGACACACCTCCAGAGGAACCTGTTCTGGAGGAGAAAGAGCCCACTACAAGCCCCCAAGATTCCGATGTCCACGAGTCTAAGGAGGAACCTATAGATGAAGAAAATCTAACTTCGTCTATAGAAACCTATGCAACCAATGATTCATCTGATGATTCAGACCATACTTTCTTTGACTCCCTACTTGACGGGTATGACTATGTCTGCCCGAAGGATGGTTGGAACTTAAAACGTTGGGATGAACTTCTGGTGAGTGACGGCGAGGACTCTTCCTTGGGGGAGGGTACGATCATAATCATCAAACCACAAATGGATAGTTAGTCAATTGAAGATAAGGAAGAAATCAATTTCGCAATCAAAGCCAATGATGTGGATCAACTGAGGAGACTTCCTCCCCCACCCACTTATACAAGGTCTCCTCCATATATCCTGTTGCCACCCAGCCGCAGGGATGAGTCGAGGATCCTGGACCTTGACCGAGCAACAAATCAAACAAGGTGGCACCAGAAGAGAGTCAGAAGGGCCAAACTTTATGACTCTCTGATCGAGAAGTCGCGGAAAAAGTGGGTGAGCGTCAAGCTACGGACGTTAAAGAAGCGCTTAAACGAGAGGAAACCCGTCATTCAGATAATTAAATTAATAAATATGCTTACTTGTTATTTACTTGCCGCACCATTTGGGGGCAAGATTTTACTTGTTTTACTTTTCTATTTCAAACAGATGGATGTGGCTTGGATGATCCCGCATGGAAACCGCCGCACATTACAGAATCTGGAAGAGCTCCCCTTGCACTCAGAAAAAGCAAAGAAGAAGTTTCTCACTTGGGGAAAAACGAAGATGCTCCAGCCTACCATGGTGCTGGACCCTGCCTCTCTGGATGAACTGGGGCACTGGCAGGACATTGATGAGTTGTTGTACGACCCAAAATGGAGGATCCTGCTATTCCTGCATGCACCAGCCAACCTGGAAGTCACCATCGAGTTTCTTTGCTCTCTCCGCTTCCTCAATGACGGAGAGGAAGTAAAGTCAGCAGCTGAAGTCACCTCCACCACCAAGGTCACGTTCACTCTGATGGGACGACTGCTGAACCTTATCGTGGCAGACTTAGGGTGGCTGATTGGTCTTTACACGCTTGATGAAACGCAGAGCCTGGCCTTCGCTAATTTGTCCGACCAGTTGGATCCAGAATTCAATGCTAAAAAGTTCTGGCAAGCTCATGGGCATGGTCGATTTCACAGTGGAGCAAGCTTAGCTAGGAATTGGGCACGACCGTCTTGGAGGATTTTGCACCATGCATTGGCTCATAGCTATTTCGGACGCTCTCAAGAACCTGACGTGGTGTTTGATTCCGATATGCTATTTTTCTAGAGTCTGGAAGCACGCGTTCCAGTCAATCTAGCAACTTTTGTGGCTCGATTCCTATTTGCTCAGTCAACTTGCAACCACCAGTTTGTCTTGTGTGGGCCAATGGTTACGCTTCTGGCCTGAGGATTATGTATGTCCGTTCCCGATGTTCTTCCAGAAGCTGTAAGCATGTTCCGACCACCGACACAGTATTTGGCCAAAATTGTTTATAATAAGGAAGACAAGGAGGGTTGTCCTAGAAGGCAGCATACGATTCCTATGACCCTTCACGAGTTTTCGCAAGCTATGTTTGCATTTCAGGACTCTGTAGACTCTCGCTTAAGGAGCATGGAGACGCTCCTTCTCACGCAGCAGTGGCAGGTGGAGGAAATACTTGACTACGTCCGGGAACAGGGAACAAAGAAAGCCGAGCATGGGGCAGGTCCTAAACAAAGCAAACGTTAGGGATAGTGAGATCCTTAATTTTCCTATTACGGCATTCAGAACATTAATTTTGGATATTTATATGATCTTACGTTAGAATTCTTCTTTTCATGGCTCTTAAAACCCTTTTGAGAATATTTTATGAATTATTTCATACTTACATGTTATGGTCATCTATTATTTCAATCTTCATCTTTGAATTTTATAAATATTGAGATAACTTAGCAATTGCATGTGAGCATTTCAACAATTAGCTCCAATACCAATAACACTCTTAAACCACAAGGACGTGGTTCCATTTGAGTGTGAGGAGGCAAGAGTTCTTTGTTGAAATGATCTTTTTAGGAATTGTTTTGTCTACATATTTTTAGGAAAAGATTTTTATAGAATAGTCATCAATTTTAATTGTTTGATTAATTGATCTTTAGTTATCACCCATAAAAATTGGAAATTTTTAAACATTTTATCAAACTTCTATTTCTACTCTAACCTTTTTGGGAATGTTTTCTAAAATGATTTGGGATAAATTTACAATTGTCTAAGAGTTTTTAAGATCAATCAATTTTAAGTTGCTTTATTGAAAAATCTTTTTGCAAATACTCATCTATCTTTTGGGCTCTGAGTATTTGTTGTTTCTTAAAAAGAGTTATTTTCAAAAGATAAGGGGCGATGTTTCAAAGCATACTTTGGTGAGATCGGGATTCTTGTTTTAGCCAAAAAGTAGTTGGTTCTAAGTCAACTGATGAGGCGTGGTGAGTATGCCGAAAAGCACGTGGTTCTATATTGCGTGATGAGGCCTTTTGAGTGTTAGAGTCAAAAAGCATGCGGTTCTATGTCGTGTGATGAGACTTCCCAGAGTGAATATCCAAAAAGCTCGTGGTTCTATGTTACGGGATGAGGTTATAAATTTTTCTTGTGTCAACATGACAAGGTTATGCCAAAGAAAATTAAACCCTTATACTTTGATTAATACTTTTGCAGGAACATGTTTTCCAATTTAGCCATTAAAAAAAATTATTTGATGTGTAAAGTACTCTTACAAATGTAGTTATCCCAAAGAAAGTTTGGAAAATTTTGGTTGGTGTAAAAATATTGGTTTGACAAAATTCTTTTACATTTCAAACAATATGGGTGAGAATCTAAAGTTCATTTATTCTTAACAAAAAGGTTGATGGCTATCTTATTTATTCTTTCCTTCATAATATGTAGCTTAAACCTTGCCTCTGCAATTATTAATTTGCCTTCATACTTGTAATTATAAAATTTGTTGCTTGAGGGCAAGCAACGTTTAAGTGTGAGGAATTTGATAAGTCCGTTTCGTTCTTATCATTTACATCATATTCTAAACGTTATTGCACGTAAATGATATTTAATCATCTCATAAAATGTGAATTTGATGGATAAAACTCTCATTTTCGTTCTAAGAGTCATAAATAGGGATTCCACATAAAATCATCATAAATTATCCATTTTATGTTTAAATGCTTGAGAAAAAGGGAATAAATCATCAAAGGATCAAGTTTCGGGCTTGAACGAGCTTCCGAGAAGATAAAATTGACGTTCGGGCCGAAAATCAGTGAAATTGGGCCAAGATCTCGTAACAGCCGCGAAGCCCAATGGACCAAGGCCTCAAGGCGTCCAACTTGGACGCTTGGCCAAGTTGGACGCTTGGAGTTGGATGCCTTGGCTGGATTGCAGATCAAGGAAGACACGTGGCAAGCAGCGAATGAACGGGCCGCGTAAGGCGTCCAACCTTGGACGCTTTGGATCCGGACGCTTTGACTTGGACGCCTCGGCCTCTGTCCTATAAATACAGCGTGATTCTCCCCATTCAATATATCACTTTCATCCCCTCTCTCGGGATTTGAGCTTATTATTACAATTCCAAATACTAGTTTATTATTATAGTAGTTTTAGAGTAATTTTGGAGGAATTCTACTCCCGATCTGTTCTGTTCCGCTTTTACGGAAGTTGTAAGTTTTCTTCATTTAATAAAGATGTTGTTTTAATTTATGTTTGCATAGTATGAGTTAGGGTCCGGATCTCTGGGTTCGGACTAGTTTGGTTGTTTATTTTATATGTTAAATTAATGTTGGGATGGTTAATCTATTGTTCTTGCCTTATTTGGTTAATTAATCTCGTAAGATTTAATTGGCCATTTATTGAGAAAATGTTGTATTCCAAAGGGCTATGATATTCAAGAGCGACGGATTAAGTACAAATCTAGAAATGGATGAGTAATAATAGAAATATTATTATTCCAATTGTTAATTTAATATGATAAAATAGATCCAAATGATGTCCTGACCCTAGGTCCAGACCTGCACTTATACTATGTAAACTTAATTTATTATTTTTACTCCACTCCCTTTTTACAATCGCTCCGAGAAGACTTTCATATACCAATCCTAACCTTCGCCTAGTTAGAGTAATTAAACTGATTCCCTCCGTCCACTCCTCGAGAGACACGACACTCGGAGAGAAAACTAACCCTTTATTGGGAAGGTTTACTACCCGAAAAACTACTACTGTCAATATTCTTACTCAGCTTCACTACTGAGCATGTAGAATGTTTTTTTTGCTACACGCAAGTAAACAGAAAGAATGTTGTGATGTGATCCTAGTGGCAGACGGGGGCGGGATGGATGTGATGGTTTTAAATTATTATTTCAAAAGACATAAATTATTTATGTTTTGTGATTTGTTAAGCTTCCGCAATATAGAAAACTTTGTACTGTTTCTGTTTTGAATAATATTATTGTGATAAATAAAAATGTTTTAAATGTTTTAAATATTAAGATTACCAAGTTAATACTTTATTCCAAAAGGAGCTGTAGACCTGGATGGGTTAGTGTGTTACATTTGAGGTGTGTCAAAACTCTCATATTGAGTTGCTTTCACAATGGGATAGAATTGAAGACAGCGAAGAAGATGAATGATTTCACCGGGTTTAATTACAATTCTTTTATTTAGTTATTAAAAAAGTCTCAATTAATAATGACCAATTTCATTTCTTTAGTGTAGATGTATTGCCAACTCTGATTTCATGTTTACCAAATTAATTTCACGTAATTAAACATGAAGACTCTGCCTGGCTAGAGTAGAGATCTTAAATCAATTGATTTCTCAGAATATTGGTATGCAAAAGAAACTCTAAGAGTAATATTATATAATTAAAAAATGATGTAGTATTTGTGTGATTTTTTCCGAAAATAAGTTATCAAAGAGGAGCTAAATCCTAATGTACCAAGAGAAAAAGATGTGACACACCAAAATATCAAAAAGTTGTTGTTAGGTACCCCAGTTTTGAGATAAAAACTCACAGATTTCATATTTTTTTAAAAAAATATCCTTCGAGGTACCTTAAGATATTCAAAAAATCACTACAGGGTGACAATCTGTCAATCTCTCTATCAAATCCAGTTTGCCGTTATTTTCTCAATCATCATTGTTACCATCTTTCCATATGCTTCTTATCTTTCGTTTTCTTCTCCAGCCACCCACCCATCTCTTTTTCTTCTTTACTTTTTTTGTTTTGAACTCTACTCCAACCCCCTTTTTTTCTTCCTCGTTTTTATTTTCTTCTATTACTATTATATTATTATTTGTTATTATTATTATCATTATTTATTATTATTATTATTATTATTATTATTTAATTAGTAGTTTTAATACTCCAATTGTTTTCGGAAAATAACACTAAGGCCCCGTGCCCCCATTAACCTTTTCTAATCTTCACTTGCGTAAGAAAAACTACGCAAAATTTATAAAATTAATATTATTTATTAACTTGGTTAAAACTTATACGTTGTAATTCATTATACTAATATTAAATTCAACACTACTTTTATCGTTTCATATTATCTTTAGAAAAATTCAGAGGCGATTACATGTCTTATTCTTGCCCCAAAACTAATAGTTTTTTTTCTAAAATATAATAATAATTGTTATTTTAAATGATAAGTGCTTTTTTAAAATAATAATTGGTGTTATTTTCTTGAAAAATAGATTAATAAAACAACTAACTAATTTTAATAATAAGAATTATAATAATGATAAATAAAAATAATAATTAATAAATATTAATAATAATAGAAGAAGAAGAAGAAGATAATAAGATATTTTAATAAAAAAGTACAATAGTAAAATTACTAATTATTTATTTTAATAAATAATAGTATTAATAATAATATGTGTTATATTTTAATAATAAGTGCTAATTTTCTAAATAACAATTACTGTTATAAATTTGTTATTAAGTATTATTATCATTATTATTAAAAAATGAATTAGTAGCTTTCTAAATATCACTTATTATTACAAACATAACACTTATTATCATTAATACTATTATTAATTAAAATAAATAATTAGTAATTTTACTACCATACATGTTTATAAAAATAAAACTACATATTATTTTTAATTCATATTAATCATTATTTATTTCTTATAACTTTATTCTTCTTCTATTATTATTATATTTATTTATTATTTTTATTATTATTTAACATTAGTTAGTTGCTTTATTACTCCATTTTTAAGAAAATAACACTAATTATTAATTATAAAAAAGCACTTATTATTTAAAATAACACTTACTATTGGCTTTTTAAAATAAATATTGGTAGTTTTCACAACTCTAATTTTGCAGCCATATGATGTTGTCTTCCGCATTTGTCATGCATTAGTCATCGACAGTCACTATTAATAGTGGTGGATCTAGAAAATGAGAGGACTTGGGGCAAGAATAAGACAAGTAAGTGTCTCTGAATTTTTCTAAAAATATTATGAGATGGTAAAAATAGTGTTGAATTTAGTATTATTATTATGAATTACGACGTATAAATTATAACCGGAGTTTATACATATTCTTAATTTTATAAATAATACGGAGTATATAACTTTTTTTATGCAAGTGAAAATTAGAAAAGGTTAATGGGGACATACTAATTTAAATCTCTAATCCTAATCTCAATCCTAGTCCTAATCTTAATATTAATACTAATATTAAAACGAATACT